TGCAGCAGAAAGAAGCAACCATGAAGCGCAGCGTGGACTGCAGAATGGACCTGAACGCAGCGCAGCACTCTCACCAGCGCGCTCTGCCTCCTCCTCCTCCCTTTCCTCGAGCACCGCCTGCCCGCAGCTCAGACTGCGCTCGCTCCTTCTACACGCCCTGAAAGCCACCAAAAAAACCAAGCAACAAACACCAAACGCAACCAAAAACCCAAACCCTTAAAACTCTCTGAGATGCCTACAGGAAGAAGAAAAAATACAGGTGTTGAAGCTGAATGCAGCAGCAGCTTTTCATTGTCAGAAAGGAACAGATTTTAGCATAGTAACAAACACGTGGAGTTGCTAAAACTGATGCTGGTATCTGAAAGTTGTTGATTTTAGGAGTTCAGAGCTGCTGTGACAGCGAAGCCTTCCGTCGCTGCACTGGGAAAGGTGGTCAGCGTTTTGGCAGGGACTGCAGTAGGAAAGACAAATTAGTAATTGTTGACGTTAGGTAATTTTTAAATCCGTCTCCCATCAGCTGCTTCCCCAGTCACGCAGTTCACCCAGACGAAAGCACCCAGACACAAAGCCCTGGGCGTGCTTTGCAGTGTGCGCTGAAGCCCCCCGAGAGGCGACCGCCCGGCAGGGAGGAGGACGGAGCAGCTCTTCCAGGACGCTCGCCCCTCTCCACCCGGGAGCACGGCACGGCAGCAGCAGCCCCCTCCGCCTGGTGTAACCCGCCTTGTGCCAGGGCCGGGGAAGCACAGCCCGTGGGGCTGCACCGTGCTGCGGGCCCGGCCAGGCTATGGAACGTTTTGGCCAGAACAAGCAGAGGTATTTGTTGGGTCCGTACGTACGGAGAGCCCCGAGGAGCTGCGCCAGGCTGCAGGACAGGACAGGACCACCAGCTCTCGTGCTGCTCTGCCAGGGCTACGCCCCCAGGTTTAGACGTTGCTGGGACAAACGCCACCGCGCACAGAGCAACATGGCGACGACTGTGGTGAAAAGGGGCACACCTCGGGGTCTGGCGTTTTGTTGGGTTTGGTTGGTTTGGGTTTCGGTTTTTTTAATCCCAACAACTAAGTCTTCTCCCAAGGCCGAGAGCCGGCAGGCACTTTGGTGTGCCGTGTCACAGCCCACCATCCCCAAGAGGACCACGAGCCTGCACCCCGGCTGGTACCGAACAGGTCGACCCAGTGAGCAGGAGTCCCAAACCCCTTGGAAGATCCCTGTTGCAGACTTCACACAGCTCTCCACCACGCAGGATCCGGAGGCAGCGAGAGGAGTCCGTAACCAGTGAGAAAGCGCACGTTGCACAGAGATGGTCCCAGCTTCTCCTCCACGAGCACCAGAGGTCCCTTGTGCAGCCTCTTCCACTGTGAGGGGCCGAGACTGAGGTAAACCGTGTGCAGCTACGCTCTGCTTTTCCTGGCACGCTTTGGCATGTGTGCTTGAACCAAGAAACCATGCCGAGACTAGAAGTGTGGTGGGTTTTTCCTTCCCGCTGGGGATAAAGCAAATGCGCTATTCCCAGGTGAGAGCATCTGTCACAGTAAATCATTAACTCTACATTTGATAAAATGCTTACTTTTCCCACACAAATCTTAGCTTTAAAATGTAAAAATGTGTTTGAGAAAGATTTAACGTCTATCTATATAAACAGAACAGCACCTGTAACATCTTTGTTTCCCTTCTCCAATGCCAAGGCTGACCTTTTTGCACAGCAGATATTTCACCCTGCAGGGAAGAGAATTCCTCCTTGTCCATCCTTATCAAAATAGTTTAATCCAGGTAAATAAAAACATTTTGGAAGGCCTGATATGGATTTTTCATGGAAAATTCCAGCACCAAAGGCACCCAAGGAGAGTTACAGACAAGCGGAAGGAAGCCTTCAGTGGCTTCCGTACAGCAGCACTAACACGAGTCGCCGGCCTCGGGCTGCTGTAGGCAGCTGCCCCCAGGACACCAGTCCAAGCGCAACATACTCCTAACGAGTAACGAACAAGCCTTCTGCATATGAAAAAAGAGAAATCCAAACAAAAGCAGCAACCTGCCCCCCCCCCGATCTCAAGAACCTCTGTGTTTTGCCTCGCCTTCCTCCTAGGTGGCTGTACCTATCAACGGGATAGCGGAACCAGACAGACGGTGCTACTCGTGCGCTGATGTGCCATTTTATTTATTTTGTACCCGCAGGGCCTCCTCTCCGTAGGGCTCTGATATATGGCCAGGCACTGTTTGAACAGCGCAGATCCATATTGGCTGTGTGCAGTGCAAATCTGCCAGACGCGTGAATAATTCAACTATGGAACTGCTTGTGCCATCTCCATAGTAATAAATGCAGCGACGGCCTTAATGCAGCAGATTATATACAAGCATTCCAAATCTCTTTAGAAGATTAGATTTTATGGGGGTACTAGAGGAACATTAATAAACACGCTGGAAAAACAGCGCGGGGGCAGCAGCGTTATCATCACCACATCACCGGGAAACTCCCCCCCACTGCCCAAGCCCTGACACCATGAGGGGAAAAGCCACAACAAGTTTTCTCCTGTGACGGTCCAGATGCTTGGAAATGAGGTTAAACACCACAGACAATCCTTCACTGGCTATCACCGAGTTTTTCCTCCTCTGCTCCCAGGTGCACCAGGCGGGCAGTTCAGAACGCCGCCATCTCCGCTGCGTTTTCAATGCGTGGACCCTGACTATCCTCAGTAGCAGCTACACATTAGGAAAGCACGGTGCTGGGTGACTTCTCTCTAAGACAAGGGATAAGAAATTACTTCTTACGATTATTTTCCACTGAATTTTCTTGATTAAGTTTGCCAACAGTTACCTAATTAAAAAAAAAATTAGTTGACATTTCAAACAGCTCAGTCAAAGCTTGGACCAAAAATACTTCATTAACATGAATGTGTATTTTGTTTAAAATAATGCCTGGATGTTTTGATATGCAAAAGGAAGCTACTAGCAGCAGCACCAATAAAAATGAGCTTGTCTACCATGGCGATGAGTGCCTCGGAGTCCTGGCACCGGCCAGACTTCCTTACCCTGCCAGCACCTTGCTTGGATCATCTTCTTTACCTCACACGGGATAAATGGGCGATTACTGGGTGGGGTGTTTTTCCAGTTTGTGTTTTTATCCTTTAGTTGGTTATCCCTGCTTTATAGACAGGGAGAGCCCAGACTCCGGTTTTGACTCGTGCTCAAGTCCCTAGCAAAGCCCGTATCCAAACTCGGCAGCGGCCGGTGGTTCCAGAGCCCAGCCCTGGAGAACCGTGCGCTTCCTTCCCGCAGGCCCCGCGGCATCCCAGCTGGCCCTAGCACAGCTAACAGACCGGCACCCAGCGCTGCGGTTAGAAAACTCAGATCTTCACAGACAGCAGAGTAAACCGCTGCAGAGCACACGGAGCTGTTTCCAACCTGAAGTCACGTCGTTCTTCTACGCACACAGCACTTTTCAGGAGATGCTACAGCTCAAAGAAGAGATGGATCAAGTATTTAACACGACCATCTTCCCTAACATCTAGTAAGATGCCACGACTCGGTATGTTAGCCTTTGAGAAAGGCACTGCAAATTCAGCCAACACGGCCAGAACGGTTATTAATCATCAGCATGACGGATTGCCTCTCTCCTCCAACACCTGTACTGGAAAATGCTAGAGATGTGAAAACTCAAAGTAGAAAACCTAACCAGCCACTTCAAACTCGCACTGTGCACTGAGCTTCCCCCCCAGCTCTGTCTCGGTCCGTCCCCTCTCGCCCTCCGCTGTCCAGACATCCCCGGCTGTCCTCATCTCCGAGCGCTGCAGCAGCCCGAGACCTCCACAAGCAGGTTGCATCACTTCCTTTTGTTTTAAATACTGACGTTTGTTCCATCGTGCAAGTACATGGGAAAGAAATACGTATGTGCGTGCACCTAGAACTAAAGAGCTTCAGGCAATACTCTCTATCAGGAACTGTTGCTAACACAGCTACACATTTTGCAGTTGTAACTGTCAGCAGTTACTTCCACTCCTATAGCATCTTCAGTCCAATGGACCGGTTCGCTCGAGTCTCTGCTGAAATACTGTCCCTCCTGTTATTTAAGTTATTTAAGTTAGCCCAGCAGGCATCACACACACAAACCAGTTTAATGCAAACTGGAATGCATTCAGGCAACTGAGCCTTTCTTTGACTAACAATAAAACTGATCAGATCCTGCTTTTCCTATGGTTTTTGCAGCACTGGATCTGCTTGGATTCGCATCAAGTGTAATTAAGAGACCTAGCAACTGGTACCAATTCAGTCTGCTCTGCAGAGCTACCGCACTGCGCAGTCTCTTAGCCCCACGCAGTACCTACCCCACAAACTTGGCTGTTATTTCTACACTAGGAATGTAGAAAAAGAAAGGCACGCCACTTGGCTGGAGCAGGGCAAGGAAGACTGGAGCTGAGAAGGAAAAGTTAGAGAAACAGGAGATCAGAATCTGGCAGAGTTAACGCACAAAAGGGAACGTCAGAGAAATTTTTTAACCCAGAGAGGAAGCATGTCCAAATGGCTAATTACTATCCAGGTCCTTAGATTACTTGGAGGATTTCAAGCCCATGAATAAAGGGGTTCTTTTCCAAGGATGAAAGGGCACTGTCACTTCCGAGTTCCTCTTCCACGTGGCATAACAAGTAAGATGAAAGTATCAAGAGGTACAGGCAGAGAAAACAGTTCTCTGGGTACAAAGCTGAATTCTTCCCCTGAGGCTAGGGGATAACGTACCTCCTCCTGCGAGACGTGCTCTGGGCGGTTTGCATGGACACAGCTCACGTCATGGCCAAAGAGAGTACACCAGTTCCCTGCTGTGCTATTTTGGGATCCAGTTCAGCGCAGGAAAGACACAGCCAGACAAACAACCGTTAACAGCCTCAGCACCTTGGTGTTCCACCCAGGACTGACCGGGACCAACGCTATCCACCTGCGAGACACCCGCTGCTGCTCTGGTATACCTCTGTACTAACAGGCAGGAAGAGAACTAAAACACTCTTTTGTTTGACTTGAAAACATTCTATTTAATTTATACAAATAACTACTAAATAGAAAAAGTAGATTAAAACAAAATAGTTATTTTTCTGGCAGAGTTTAAATGCATATTATATAGCTTAGAAGAAATAAAATGCATTTTCCCCACAGCATCCATGACCTAAAATTCTAGTTAATTCCTCCATTGCTTTCCTTTTCTAGATCAGTAAGATACTAGACACAATGTCATGTGGGTAATGGCTATATATATGTTCCGTATTTGAACTGAAAATATGTTACAGACCACACACCTACAAATGTGAAGCACTTAAAATGTGGCTATCGAGTTGTAATATGACAATACAGAAAACAATTTATGTTTCAGGTTATATTGTGTTACAAAAACATCTGTGTAAGAAATCATGAAAGAGGCCACATAAAAATAAGCTTTAACTTTATGCACTTATTTTACAGTTTAAAAAACTGGCAAGTGCACTAGTAATAAATAATTTGCAAGTTTTGTATAAACGAGAAATTCCTAATGTTCAGCATTATTGTAAACATCAGTACACATGTAAAATGCAGCTAAAATCTGACAGTTACATTTTCAGTTTACCAAATTCATTTCCTATTCAGGCATAGATCAATGTAGTGTACAGCCAATCATATTTTTGGCAAGTCATGTCATTAAAATTAACAGTGACAGTGCAAGTAAGGAATGCAAAGAATTCCTAGTGCAATAAAGAAGAGAAGCACAGGCAATATTGCTGATTAAAATTTACCACTTCCATGTGTTTGCCCTGGGAGTGATTAGGAGAATTAAAAAAAAAAAAAAAGAAAAAGAAAAAAAGCTGTTCAAAGCCATTATTTAATGCCCTGATCTTGTCTTAGGATTTCTCTGTCTTCCTTCAGGCCACTACCTTTGCAACAGTACATCCAGCATGAGTCCTTATAGCTTGACCATTTGTGAAATGCCCGTCGTAGTCACTGAGCAAAGTCCGTCCGGTTCCGATGTCTCGATGTCTCCAAACAGATGGCTTGGTAAGAACTTCTGCCTCTATAAGTAGCCACATGGGGACCAATCATATAAACTGTCTGGCCAGACTACTTCTGAACCAGACAAATGCCTTCCTATCAGGAGAGCACCACGAGAAGAAGGTCAACAGTCAGCTTTCAGTTTATCTAAGGAATTGTCAATTTTGGTCAAAGTCTTTTTGATTCGCAGGGCTGTTAGTCTCGCTGATGGATTTTGATACCAGCATTCTTTCATCAACTTGGCAAGAGATGTTAATGTCTGGGAAAAGAATAAAACACAAAACACACATGTAAGGACACAATCACAAGCCAAGAAAGCACTAGATTGGGTTAAGCACTAACACAATGAGGTTTTATTGTCTCATTAGTACTCAATTTTCAGTCTATAGAGAGCTTACTGTTGTCTATCAACTATACAGCTTTCACGCCTTGAAAAAAACCCAGGTTTGATAAACTGGTTAAACTAAGAGAATAACCAGACAATGGGCTGACTGGAGTGACAAACTAGCGTAATTTTTAACAATGGAGTTTAGTCGGTTTTTCTAATTAAGGAAAGACTCCACAGAATATCTTTTCAATGAAACAGACTGCAAGATCAATGAAGGAAGCCAGAGAAGGCACAGATTTTCTGTCTGTGATTTCATCATGCCCAGCGCAGCTTTCAACGGCTGGGATTCACTGGTGGCTCGTGTGGCAACACAGGTCACGGTCACCAAAACCTTGTAGGTGGGACCTCTTGCTCTCGCTGGCCCCATACAGACTCCAACCCACCTCCATAGCGTCGGTAATAAGGAACAAACAGCCGGTACTCTGTCCTAAATCTGCGTGCGTGTAAGCCACAGGAAGGCCTACACAGGCTACCCTGCCCTTCAAGACGTTTCCCCTTGGAGGGAGGACAAGAACATAGGAAGGGCAGCTTTAAAGTAGTTACTGTTAAATCACGCTGCTAAAAGGCTAATCTGGGAAGCCCTCAGACTTAACAGTCAGAAGTTTGCTCCTGGTGTTTTCTTCCTGCTCCAAGACAAAGGTCCATGCCAGCATGCTTCTGAAATCTGTACTGGGTCGTGCTCCTGACAAGCAGCATCGAGACCGTTTCAGTTTCAAGTGACAACTGAAAATAACTTCCACGACTGTTTCAAAAGAAGAAAGGGCAGCTCGCATCTTCCAGCACACCCACTTACAGGGTCTGAGAACCATCTGTTGGGAATGTTCGGCCTTTGCTGGTCTACACAGACCACTTTTCTCATGTCTTCAAAACTGGGATCGTTGGGAACCAAGTCATAAAATGGTGGTTTATAGTCTTCCACAATACCTAGTAAGACACAAGAAAGGCATTATTTAATGACCATGCCAGTGAAACACTATTTCTGCACAGAGAGAGGACCCAGCCATCTAAGTACCACAAAAATATTTTAAAAGTTAACATCACAGTGTCAAGCAGCCGTTAAACAGAATAGCACTTACTACCATAGGAACAGCTTCTTCTACCCAAAATGTTAATTAATTGGTTCATGTTACAATTCCACAAAATAAGAACTACATCCATTTTGCAGATGCTTGGCCGAAGTGACGAGAAATAAATTCACTTGCCAAAAGGCCATCTTTTATAATGCACGGAGGTTTACTGACTACCACAAAACTGGGATTTCTACTAGCAAATGTAAAAAATTAAGGTCTGCATTGTGGTTTTAATAGGTTTACCACACACTTTGCATGGTTTTATGATTCCCGAAAGAGTCCAATAAGCATGTCAGCATCTACAGACCTTCACGCTGGCACTTCAAATACTTTTATTTCTTGTTATTAAAATAGTAAATACTTAGGATAATTGGCACCACATGCCACCACAAAGCCAAACACCCGAGAGCCTGTGGCACCCAGTGTCTGAATGCATTTTCCAGGATTCATTGGGAAAGTGAGTTAATGCGTGTGCTCCCACAACTCGTCACCCAGCTTACAGAACACTGGCAGGCTAAAAAGCCTTTTGCCTACTCTAAGGCATGTGTGCAGCACTGAGTTTCATCAGTGGATTAAGCTCACAAATGATCTATAGGGAGTTCAACTTTCTTAGGAAGCCAATTTAAAAACTGGTGTTCAAAGGCAGGCATTTGGGTCAGCAGCTTGAAAAAACAGTGAGCAAATGAGGCCCTCTACGTACAATAGAAATGTGGGCAGAACAATCTTAAAACTGCTTTTTAGCAGACTGGCAGCTGTCCCACAGTCAGACATACATGAAATCCCAGAGAATTTCTGTTGCTTTGGATATACTGAAGTTGAAAAGAGGTTCTCAAGCTTTGCTACAGTGGTTGGATTTAGTTTTCTCGTTCTATAGGTGATGAAGATCATAGTCCCATAGATCCTTTGTAAAAATCTGTAAATCCCTATCTGCAATGACTAGTCGAAAAGGGAAACGGTCTTCAGGAAATTACAGCTCCCTTTGAAAATAGTAGGACAGTTCAAAGAACCGGCTACCCGAGCACGTTACCGTAACAAAGCACTGAGCAGACTGCAGGGTTTGCCCTATGGTATTCTGACACGGATGCAGGAGGACAGACCGTATTACATGCTGCATCAAGAAGCATCAGCCACCCACCCTCCTCCTCCGAGCAATTCCTAAGTGCATACACCAAACATCACCCACAGGGCTGAACCCTTGTTTTTACACTCCTCCTGCTTCCTCCCAGAACACAGAATAACATTTATTGTGAGAACTAAGAGTAGAAAAACCTCTTGTGTATCTACATTGTCTACATTTCCATTTCAGATAAAGCAGTGGCTTCATACAAGTCAAATGCAGAGCTGCATCATATGGCTCTGAAAACGTTTCCAGAGTCATCAGGGTATATCAGATGAACTTTACCACTAAAACAGAGAGTCTGGCTCTAATTTACTATTTTCACATGGTCTTTCCAAAGTGTAGGGTATATAACTGGCTATTTCAGCTAAGACATACAGTAATACATATGAAATGAACTTTTACTCCAACAGAGTGCTTCTAGAGCACGCTGGTACGCAGCCAAACATCACCGACCCCGTGGGACCACCGCTGGCTCCGCAGCAGCCCATCAGCGACAAAAAAAAGCCACTGCAACCTCTCGCCCACACCGCCCCGCTCGCAAAACCGTCACTGAACTGTGACACGCTTCCCTCGCACACTGCCCCGGGACAGCGAGCCTGCCGCTCGCTGCGGGGGACGCCCCGGGGCATTCAGCCGACCTGCAGCTTGCTGCTTTCTGGACAGTTTTAAGACGACTTCTGTAATTTACAATATATTGTACTTTTTTCCCCTGGGGTTGCTGGCTTTTTGGTACTCAAATCAACTAGAACTCTCTCACACACACACTAGTGTTTTCTTCACCTTTATTCCTCGTTACTTTAATGTCAGCTTGTCCTATGCACGCATGAATCTACCCACTGGAGCAAAGCAGCACCTACACAAACACCTAAGCAACAGACCCAGCCTCGCAGATAGAACGATGACCACACACAGGGGTGGCTTTGAGCAGTACCCATCTGTCAGCCTCTGGTGTCACTTTAATATTGAACACAATCACGGGACCAGGAATGACAGTGAAGGGTCCCAAGGAACACAACTGCAAGTGCCAGGTACCGATGAAGGAAAGACGCACGGCACTGTACACTAGGAAGGGGGCACATTCAAAAGCAGTGAACAACCACTCTACAGGGAACAAGCACTGGTCTATTTAAAGAGAGTGAAATACTGATTTGGGGGTTTAAATTACATTTTTCAAGCACAGAGAGAAATGCTGAGTGGCTCCTGCTGCAGCACAAAGATGAGACACAAGTACTCTTGGTTGTGGTGAAGGAGTTTCCTACCACATTTTCCTCCTTATACTAAGCCACAACAGAAAAATACTGAGAATCACTGTGTCACCTTGAGGACCATTAGATAAGTTTAAAAAAAAACTTAAAAATTTAAAAACAAACATTTGAAATATTAATTTTTTTTAAAAAGATCAGACTTATTACTCAGATCACAACTTCAGAGTCTCCATGAAATGAAGCTCTAAACCAGGCTGACCCGCTGGAACAGACTCTGCATTTCCACCCAGTAAATGAGAGATGCCAAGTGTCCGTCAGCATGGGATAGCAGCAAAAGTCTCCAGCGCAGGTAAGTGACAGTGCCCTCGCCCACCTACCATATGCCGTCACCCAGTTCACAGAGGCATGCCACCCCGACCTCAGCCTGCTCACTCCCAGTGCCAGAGGCTTCCTGCAAGTCAAATGGGGTTATCCAAGTGATCACCTGATGAAGAAATTATTTCCACACAGCTAAACACTTGGATTTGAGAGAAAACATTTACTCCATTTCAAACCAGGAAATGTAATTACTTACAGCAACAGCCAGAAATACAGACCAACTGGAAGTAAGTACTGTGGAATTAGTATCACCACCGTCTTAAGACTTGACATGACCAGTGTCATGACGTAGCTGTATCACCGTTAAAAGCACTTCCATGGCATCACTGAGCTCAGCCCAAATCAAGTCACCAAAGCATCTACCTGCCATGTGTGGCAGGCCCGCAGTCCACACTGAGTCTCACACCACCTCGGTGAAGCCGCCAGCACAACCTAAGCTCGGTAGTTTCACAGTAGCTCAGGTAAACCGCCTGTGAACCGCAGTCACTGCAGCAATGCCTACGTATCAAAATTTCAGCATGGGAATATTTAAATAATAGGTACCGTTTCATGGAACTTTCATTTGAAGAGGTAACTAGGTAAGACTGTGTGTATTTTCTATATATGTTATGTACAGTGTACACACATACATATAAGCATAAAGGTATATTCATATACAAAGAGAGCAAGACATTAATATTCCACAAAGGATTACCAACCTCCAAAAACAGCACTGTGGCAAGACAGATTCCAGATGAATGACTCAAACTTCAAGACTGGCAATAAAACCGAACTTATCGAAAGCTTCACGTGAAGTTTTGTCATCGCATAGGCCCACTGCTATGTTCAAACAGACAATACTCTACACGGTGGCTATGTGTGAGCACTGCTGGTCCCGTCACCCACGGCTACGAGCACGGTCCCTCCGCAGACCGACTGCCTCCTCTCATGTGCTGGCTTCCCTTCCCGCTGCAGCGAGCATCACCTCTTGCACAGTGAATTAATCAACCCCTGCCCAGCAAACCCATCATATTATGGCAACTAGGAAACTACAGTGCTCACAGACTGCTGAGACAAAGTGCAGAATATAAAACTGTGCTGAAAACAGTGAAGTTACAGCTTAAATTCTCAAGGCACTCACACTGACGTGAACTGCAACCCAGAGGTCTCCAAATATTGGGAAATGCAATGACCAAGCCTTCATAACTGCCTACGACATACATTTGCCAATAAGCAGAAAAATTAAAACCATGCCTTCACAAGACTTTCCTCCTTTCTCTAATTAACCACATATACCTCCATCACCTGAGACCATCATCGCCCTGTGATTCAGCTGACATGTGTTCTCATACCAGAACAATACCTATTCTGTTTGCTGCACACGTCTTCACTGTCAGAGGAGTTACTTGAAGGGAGAAGGACGGCGAGGTCATGAGCTCAGCTCCACCCACCCCACAGAAAGCTTATGGAAGTTCCCTTCGGCTCCTAGAGACAGTCCCGTGACAACAAGACAGGAGCTGCTCACTATGGACCCTGCAGGTTCAGATGCAGCTCCCCAAAGCAGCTGACCACCTGCACAGATTACCCTGCTCTCTTGATTGCAGAGAACCCATCTGGATCTCTGCAGAGCTATCAGAGCAAGCTCTTGGCTTACAAGGAGACTTAAATTAGCCACCTAAGCCTACCTGATGCATTTTGCTACCCCCAAGTCAGCTTTGTTTATGCACCCGGGACATATCCTGGAGAAGACAGGGGCTTTGGATAGTGCTCCAGGCCCCACAGGAATCTCCCAGCTAGCTTGGAAGGTCTGCAAATCTTCTCGGAAGTGCCACCTTCCAGCAGCCTTCTCATAACAAGCCTGACCGCAGTGTTTCTGGAGACAGCTAGCTGCTTGTGGCTGCCGTGCTGAGAATTACCCTGAACAAGGGACCAGTAAGATTTTGGGGGGGTTTTGTTTGCTTGGTTTTTTACTTACAGTTAAATTATTTTGGCCACCAACAGATAACAGATGAAGTAAAAGGTTCATATTTAGAAGAGTCCTGCACTTTAATATTTGTTTGCTCCTACAGCTGCTGCACATTCGCCTGTCCTCTCTCCCCATTCCCCGTAGCCCAGTGTAACACCATCTGGACAGGATTCCCGCTGGGGTGCGGGAGTGGAGGGCAGGTAACGTGTGAGAAACAGCACGAGGCAAGTACCTTAACTTCCACTAGAGTCTGAGTCAGGCATCGTTACGCCGTACTAGCTACCGCAAGCCTTCCCTGTCATACCTTACCGCAGCCTGCCTCTGTCCACTCACTCATACTCTCTCCTTTGGCTCAACAGCTACTTTTTGAGAACATCTCTAAAGCCATCTGAATCCTTTCCTCCAAAGTATTCCCTCAAATTCTGACTTGCAATAGTTCCCACCAAAAAGCAGCCCTCAATTCTTCAGTTTGAGCCACCTGACTACTGCCTATAGTTCTGACCATGCCTCCTTTGAACAAGTTTGTACCTGGATCCTATGCTGGCAGCACCCCGGCTGGCACCAGCCCTACCTGTCCTGCGGGGTTCCAGCCTAACATTGGGGCTCAGAGCTACTGCAGCAAGCAAACGACCCATCGTCTCTTCCTGAAGACAAACCCATTGTCTGATGTCAGTTACAAAATCCCAGACTTGGATTTCATGGGAATAGATCAGACACAGAGCAAATAAATGTGTATGACGATTCAGAGTTTCCTCAGATTTAAACATGTCACCGTCACTGCCAGCGTCTGCAGAGAAGCCTGAAGGGCACCTTCTGTGTTCTCCTGTGTGGTTGGGTCCAGAGAGCACGAACTGAGGTCCACAAGTCAGAAAGGACTTCTGACTTGACAAGCACAAGAAATCACACCAACAGACACTCAGCTTAAAGGTTCTTAAATTCAGAGTTCCTTGCCAAGGAAACACGAAGTAACACTGTGTGCTACGACACAGGATTCCAGCGGCACTTTTCCCAAGCAGAACTGTGCTTTGACTAAGTCCTGCTTTGTGAGTGCATTTAACTTGGTAAAGCAAGAGCATCCCTGAATTCTGATCACTTCTTCAATTGCTACATATTTTCCTTCTGTTCATATTTTCCTTCAGGTTTCGTCATGCGAAAGAGTCACCTAAAAGTGTACATTATGGTTTAGTGACACATGGAAAAAGTTTAGAGACTTTATGATCTAAAATTTTAACTTAACTATGTGGTATGAATTATTTCTCGTCACGATTTAGGATGTAGCAGGGGACCCTCTTTCTTCTCTCCCTGAACAGAAGCGACAACAATACTCAGCCATCGTACCCAACATACCAACAACTTCACCACAGGCAGCAAAGCGTCAGGAACCAAAATACTTCAGAAGTCCAGTATTTTACTATGCATCCCATGCATTTTGGTGGCAGATGCTTTGCCATGAATTACCATTTCCTTAAACCCTTCTAAAGCCAAGTAAAGGAGCCCCAAATACTTACCGTTGCTAACCATGCGTCTAGCTACTTCCCAAAGGACCAGCCCAAAAGCCCAGATATCGACCCTTTTATACGAGTCAAAGCAGTCTGCCTGGATAGTTTCGTCCAAGACTTCTGGAGCCATGTAGCGTTTGGTACCCACACGGGGATTGTTCCCCACGTCCAACTGATTCGTGCTTTGGGAGTGCATTACTGCGAGGCCTGAAGGACAGGAAAAAAAAATCCCTGTTAAGTCCCCTTTAAAACTACAGCAGCGTACATTTAAAATTCCATGTGAGCAGTGACACCCATCAGACAGTTTCTAACAAAGGAGGAGCTGAGAGTCCAACTGTCCGAAGACCAACTGGGTCAGCTCCAAACCAGCTATCAAAAACAGCCACCGTGTCCATAGACTTAGACCAATTATCTCCTCAGGGATTACCATTAAGCATGTTATTGCACTGTTGCAAAATGTTGTCATTAAGTGTTTTGCAGCCACTGGATGTCACCAGCACTCTAAGCACGTATACACAAAAGGCCAAGCATCTGTTACTTAGAAGAAAACAATTTTATACAGCATTCACATTTATTTATAGAACTTTTGGGTAGGTGGATATATCCGAACTGTGGGGAAAAGAGAAGAAAAACACTGCATGATGGATATACCCAAGTTAAAAAAATAAAGCTGGAAAATAAAAAACACCGTATTTGCAGTAGCTTGAAAAATAAACATCCTCAAGCTGATCTAAAATGAGTCAGTCAAAACCACTCTACCTGGTTTCTACTAATTACTAAACATTTAAGCAAAGAACATTATGTGAGGGACTAAATTACTGTAAATTTGGAAACACACAGAGTACTCATTTTGCCATGGTAAACAGAGAGCACTGCAAATTGAACAGCAACAGATGCATGACATAACTAAGCAATAGAAAAGACAACACAAACTCTCCCTAATTTCCTCAACAAATCTTGTAAGAATAACATATACTATTTACATTTAACATGAGTTTGTTTTAGATGAAACTTAAAAAGCTTTTTAACTCAGTCCCATAAAAAAAATTAACCAATCACCAGATCATGAATTTCTTTTCTTTCCAAAAAATAGTCTGTACTTCACTGTAACAAAAATTTGGAAAACACTTTCCTACAATTTAAATGCACTTCAAGTAATTTCAAGCTGCTAAAAAAATGCTTATGGCACCTCTAGAAAGATGCCATCTATTAACCCCCATGACTGCTGAGAAGATAATTTGGAAAGCTTGCTTGCCAGGCAAAAATATTTTTTGTCATATATATATACACACACAGAGAGGACATATTTACACACACCCTCCCTATAAATTTATTTATTTGTTCATATTCATTTATATTATACAATATGTATGGATTATAGTATTTTTTTAAAAAATTTGCACTGGAAACAAAGGTTAGCAAACAAATTTCCTGGCAAACTCTGAAGACATCAAGACTTTGGAGAACACTTTGATAAAAATCCTACTACTCCATCCAAATTGGGCAAAACAGATTCAATGGACTGACAGGTCAAAGGTTTAAGGCTGAGGGATGCAAGTCAGCATCCCACACACTACAAACTAAGAAAGTGTTGCAATAGGGTCAAGGGACAACAATGTTGTAATCAGGTTCTCATCATGGTGGCATCTGTGCTGTTTATGAGTCAGGAGCAGACCTTGCACTACTGCAGCTTTTCACCTCAGGAGCTCTCAATGCACATTTAACTTAGGGGCACGTAACTGCTTGTCAGAGAAGCTCGTAATGCAAGTATTAATTCTTTAATAAAAAAAAAGCTTGACAGGAATACAAATTGATAAAACATTGGTTTTCAAGACACCAAAAAATCCTCTTCAGTATAATGAAGTATCTGTTAGAAACAAAAACTGAGCAAATTGTGCTAGCGTTCTTTGCACCTTCCTTACAAATACCAGTGTTAGTTTCAAGTGGGCATTCACTACTCTATACGGAGGGGTAAGAGAAGGAGGGAGTAACAGAAGGGCTGGGCTGCTGCTTCTCTTTGTATAAGCATTATTCTGCTGCTCTGTAAAGTTGCTCAACTAAGACCTGTTGTCATGCACATGTATTGCTTTAGAAATAGAAGGGCAGAACTTTTCCACAGCACTGACAGCTTGAACCGAGGCTGACACCCATCCTTGGACTTTATCACACAGTTTCTGCTTAGCTAGAACATATTTGAAACAGCCAGTGTCATAACTGCAGCCTTGGCTACGCGGGTTGCTGCCCAGAGACTCGTTTCCAACACGCGTGCCGAGGGACAAGCGGCCAATTCAGAGAGCTGCTGTGCTTGCTGCCGGGAGGCCCAGGACCGGACGGCCACGCACCCCAAGCTGCGCTGCAGTTCAGGCGCACGGCACCCAGGCTGCCAGCAAGACAGACAGCTACAAGATGCGCATCAAAACGATTTTATTCCTCTTTGCTTTCAGAGCTTACACCTATTCTTAACGGGTACATTGCAAGTGCGGAACTTGGTGTAACCGACAGAACCAAAGTCCAGCTAAGCTCTGGGCAGCTGCACTGAATCTTTCCATCTGCCCACACTTACAGTCACTGTCATTCTTGTGTGGTGCACGTATTGAGACAGAGGAGGGAGAAAAGACAAAGCTATACAGAAAATAAAGGGCATGACTACATGCCAGAAGCAACAAACTCTTTGGTAACTCTCCTTTACAGATAAGGAACACATGAACACGTCAAATACATGCCTGAGGATTTCACGTTTAAAAAAATAGCTATTTTGCCACCACAGAAACTAACTAGGAAGTGTTTATTGCTGTGCTGAGAAAGATCTCTATCTAGACACTTCACATATTTGAATGTAGTAGATTTTACTTTATTAGTGTGATGTCAATCAATGCCAATATGTGCTGCCCCCTCCTCAGTGTGAACTACAAACTTATTTAAAAGCCAGTCTCTGAAGTTTTGTATTTTCGACTTACTACTCCATTTTTTACTTACAAATCCCTCTACAAATTTCGATAGGTCCAGGTGTGTGGCTTTCATGTTTTCCCCATACGTATTTCACGTCCCTCGGGCAAAAGTGATAGGAACGATGCAGGGGAATTGTTACTGAAAAAAATCCCATCCCCCGATACACTTTGTGCCTAGCCAACGTCTTCCCTGCCGCTATGCCAGACGTCCCCCGGGGTGTGAAGGAGCCATGCTGCCCCAACTGTCCTCAGCATCCTGCCAGCTTAAAGTCTAAAACGGGCTGGTGAGAGCGCCCAACTTTGGGCTGCATTACCTGCCAAAGGACTCAGGCTGGTGGGACAGCGAGCATGGAGCTCTGCCACTGGA